GCCAGAGCCTCTTCTGGATCTCCCATGCAGGTGCAGGGTCCCAAGGCCTTGGGCTGTGCTTGATTGCTTTCCCAGGCCACAAGCAGGGAGCTAGATTCAAAGTGGGAGTGCTGGGATTAGAATTGGCACCCATATGGGATCTCGGCATATGCAAGGCGAGGACTTTAGCCACTAGTCTACTGCACTCGGCCCTATTTCATCTTAAAGGCCAGTTTACAGAGGAGGAAAGATCTCCCTGCTGGTTCATTCCCCAAATGGGCTGCAATAGCCAGAGCAGTTCCAGAACTAGCCATGGTGTCTCCACACAGTGGAGGTAGCACTCAGAATTACAAAGTGGGAGCCTTCTCAGGTGTGCTGTGCGGTGGTGGTGCTCCAGGGTGCTCTGCTGTGGGAGATGAGCCATCTGCCAACATTGCCCTGCACAGTGCCATCCACGGGAAATGTATAACCAGGTGCCTAGAGCATTGAGACTTCCTGGAGCAAGCAGCAGAAAGTGGGTGCTGAGGGCGTGGTGGGCCTGAAGGTCTGCGGGCATGTGGCAGGGGATGAGCGCATACTGTTGTGTCAGCTCCGGCACGTCACAAGAAAATGGGCAATGGAAGAGAGGTTCTCGAGTGTCTGATTTATCACAGTTCTTCAAAGAAAGAGCCACGCAAGCACCCAGGCAGCTCCAAGAGCTCCCATTGCCCTGTGCCCACAGCTGACTCTGCAACTGCACAAATCCCCACAGCCGGTTCGGTGGGAGACTTGGCATCTCAGCCTCTTAGCTGGGGGTATTTTATTCACAGGGTCGGAGTTGGGGGTAGTACAGCATCAAGATTCTCCACGGGAAGGAAGAGGGGCCTGTGGGAGACCCGGAGCAGAGATGCTGTTGAAAGACTGTGAGCAGGGATATTTCTGTGATCCCAGGACCTCAGGAAGTTCTTGGAATCAAAGATGCCCTGGACATAAAAATTGCCTTCTCCAAGTGTGCCAGGGGATGGCCAGTGGCAGGCTGGAATGTGGCAAGCAAACCTGCTGCAGGCCAGCACACATGACAGCTCTACCATGGTCATCACCATCTTCTGGGGTCCTGGGACTCCCCGAGCCCACAGCCCCAGCTCATCAGCCCGCTACCCATTGGGCCGCACTGCACAGCAAGAACTGACTGTACGGAGCTGAATCACACAGGGGACAGTGAGTGTTGAATAAGGGCAGGGTGCTATAACCTTGGAATTATGACTATATACAGTGTGGCCAGAAATGGGGACACAAATTAGACAATGAATGGTCCACAATGGGGACAAGTAGACTGAATTTAAAAATCACCATCCATATTTTGCCTACAGAAGATATATTTCACCAACAAGGACGAGCAGAAACTAAATCTCAAGGGTTTTGACTTTTACATTTAGTTTCATCTCTTCAAAACACGTTCTTTCTCATTAAATCCTTCACTGACTCATAGATCGCAGCATCATTTTCTTCCAGAAGGTTCTTGATTTCCTTTATCATTTCTTCAGCCACACACTAGTCATTTAGTAGCACGTTATTCAATTTCATGACATTTTTAATTTCTTCTAATTGTTGTTGATTTTTTTATATGGCTTTTTATCTAACAGGATGTATAGTAACTGTGTAATGGAGACTATCCTATCCAGTAGCATGTTATTGAGTTTCATGGCGTTTTAAATTTCTATTTTTCTTGTTGATTTTGCATTGTGGCATTTCATTTAAGGGGATGTATAGTAACTGTGTAATGGAGACTATCATATCCAGATATGAGGATACAATCCAGTATGCATCTCTATTTTCAGACAAAGACAACTCCCAAATGAAGCTGTTCACAATATCTTTTTTAAAATTAATTACATTTAATTTTGTGATATAGTTTCATAGGCTCTGGGATTCCCCCAATCCCTCCCCGTGCCCTCCGCTCAGTGTGGATTCCTCCACCTTGTTGCAGTACTACCGTTCAAGTTAAGTCCAGATTCTTTCATTGCAATCATACACCAAGCATAGAGTCCAGCATCTTATTGTCCAGATACATTCAGCAGTTTGTTGGGGAGACCTTCTCTGGTCTAAAGGTAGAGCTGGCAGAATGTCATCCCTATCAATTGAAAGCCCCAGCACAACATCAACGACAGTTTGCAACATTATGGAATGAATTGACATGGTATTGAGTCATCAATATGCTAAAACAATGCAAGTTCTTAACCACATCCTGTGACTACTTCATTGACATTTCAATGTTTGTTGATACACAGGACCGGCTGCTATACACCTTGAAGTGGCTATCGGGTGCTTTCAGCTGTCTCATGTCTATTTTCATTTTAGTATTTAGCAGTTTATAGTGTTGAAGCATAATTTTGCTGAACTTGGCAGATTTTAGGATAGTCTAAACTGGCTTGTAACTCTAACAAGGCATTTGTCAACAGTTGAGGTGCAGAAGAGTTTTAGGAGGGGTGTGCAGAGAAATCTCCAATCCCCTAGTGAGGAGTAACTAATCCTTTGTTTCCTACCTCGTAAAGTATATGTGAGTTCACACTGACTGTTTCCTCTCTGGTTTTAAGCTTTCCTTGTTATTCTCCATCTATTCTAATTATTTTTTGGGGGTGGGGGCAGGGGATCCGGAGCAACCCTGATGGTCATTGCAAGGGAGGGTGGGGATCCAAGTAGGAACTTAGTAAGGACTAGAAAAAGCTGCTCTGTCTAGTCCCGAAGGAAGTTGACTGTTCTTCTGTTTCTGCAGACGACTCTGGGCTCCTGGCTGTTGTTCCGAGGACCTTGGATCATGTGAGGAAGGATTTGTGCTTCTTCCATGCCATGTAGCAGATCCAGACGGGGCTGGGTGACTTCAGAGTTCTCAGCCTTCAAGGCACTCCCATTCCCCGTAGTCTGCTTGGCTGTTGGATACTGCCAAGTACTGACAGTCCTTTGTGAGGATCCGGGAGTCCCCAGGATTGGGAGACAAGCTTCCTCCTGTCCATCTGCCCCACTCTGGGGTCCACCCCTTCTCTGTGTTGACTATATCTTGACTATATGATGCTGGACTCTTTGCCAGTGTCCATGCCCTCAATGATGGACATATGATTGTTTATGAAGAACTACACTATAGTAATAATGTAGGGAAACTCAGTGGGGTGGAGAGGGAACTTGGGGAAAGGGTAAGGAAAATCCCAGGGCCAATGGAAATGCATCCTCATTGATAACAATAATAATAAAACTAATTTAAATAATGTATTCTTCTTTAAAGAGCACACTATTAAAAAGAAGAAGAAAGGAAGCTGGAAGCCTTCCTAACACCCGCTGAGTCCATGGGAGCTGGGTGAGGGGGAGTGCAAACCTGGGCGATACAACTGTACCCGCTCTTGCACGCAAAAGTCAGAGTCGGTGCAGGCTGGTTGGTCTGTCACTGCATCAGGTGGCAAGTGCTAGGAAAGGAGGCAAAGTCCTTTTGAGCTAGACTGCAAAGACACCTGCAAAGGGAATCATCCGGGGCTGGGAGTGGGCCCAGGAGGGCGAGGGGGCACCGCTCTGAGGGGCTGTAGTGAGCATGACATCCAAGCCTGCTGGTGGACCCGGCTGGACAGGCGTGATGACCACCAGCCTAGGTACAGGACAGATAGCTGAGTAGACAGGGCTAGGTTAGCACTCATAGGTGTATACAAAACAAAATGTGGTGTGGGCCAGGCCTGAGCAGCCTGCTCTACTCACTGTCATGTGCATGGCAAGGGCTGGGAGCAGTGCAGGGGGCTGATTGGGAGCTGCTCCATGTGGGCTGCAGCTGATGTTGAGTGTGAGGACTGCGTGTGTGGACGGGCGGTAACATGCTGCGCTGCTGCATCCATTCATTTGCGTATGACATGGGATGGGAGACAGAACTAAGCCAGCACCTGAACCACCAATCCGAACATGATGATTAGCTTGACAGAGAACCCAGACCCTGTACTAGCAAGCACACATAGGAGTCAACCATGGGATCACCTCGGGTAAGGTTTCTTTGGCTAAATTCCCAAACAACCACAGGACGTCAAACTATAAGGGAGGGGAAAGAGCAGGATCTGAGGTCTCACCATGGCATGACTGTGTCAGAACTGGGCCTCCTCACTTGCTAAGCCTGAGCAGTGGACAGCATGCCCAGATGCACTTGGGGCAGATGGCAGCTCACCCAGGTCTGCAGAGGACATTGAGTACCATGTAGACGATGGGAGACAGAACCAATCGGACAACTCTCCAAACCAGGCTTTAGCATCAAGCATCGGGGCAAACGGACACTCTCAGGTGGACAATGTCAGCCAGCAGACCTTGGAAGAATTTCCTCATTCTTGCAGCAACAAAACCAACAGCCTTTCAGAACTATCACAACCCCTTGCGCAGTGCCCTCAGAGCCTGATCCACATCTGGGACCCTGGGATGATATGGGGTGGCTGTCCTCCACCCCCCGGCACTCATGCGGTTAGGATGCTGGGTATGGCTTCACCTCTTCTTCTTCCCTTTCCCCAAGAACAAAGAGAACAAAATGAACATCAGAAGCGATGGTGTCATGCACGGGAGCCTATTCCTCCACCCTTCCCATGGGATACAGTGGTACACATGGACATGGATCCATCTCAACTACATAATCAACACCAAAATAAAATCATTTTATCAGACTTGATGTGGATGAGTAGGGAGGCCAGAGGCCTGGAGTGTGGCAGTGGACAGTGTGGTCAGAGATGGGGTCCTGGGTCAACCAAACAAATGGTCCACACAGGGTCAGGTGTCAGGCAGGTATGGCAGTTACTCCTGCGATGCTTCGAGCTGGTTGCCAGGTTGGAATAACAGATGACATCAGAGGATTCCGCCCCTCCTGATTGGAGGGGCCACACTCGTTGGCACCTGCCAGCACTGGCTAACAGCGTCTTCTCCGAGCTGGGCTTCAGTGTTGACTCCCACGCTGAGGAAGATACGACACGGTGCGCTTGAGCCAGCCAGGCTTGATCGGGAAGGACTGAGAGAGATCAGGGTGTGGGTCCGCAACAGGGAGCCAGGGTTTTGAGAAAGACCATGGCCAGCTGCGAACCGGACCCCCAGATCGAGGACTGTCCCCTGGAGGCGCTGGTGGATGATGAGGTCCCAGGACCATCAGGTGAGGGGCCCGATGGAGCAGGTGACTCACAATCTCACTGGGGAGGAGGAGGGTGGCAGCAGTCCTAGGGAGCTGAGGACAAGTGTGATGGCAAAGAAGGCCTTGGGGGGGGGGTTTCAGGATTGGAGGAGAGGCCTCCAAGAGGAGACCAGGATACCCACAAGGACACAACCCCAGGGAGCTAGGCACGGCAGTGGGGGGATTGGGAATGGGGCAGGTGTCCTGGCTTCCATTACAGGCTAGAAGACAGGCTGGGCAATGCTGGGTGTTGGGGGTGGTACCAAGTGTGCCATGTGTCAAGGAGCAGGCAGCCTCAGGAGGAGGCCCCAAGCTCGGGCTGGGGAGCATGGCAGCTTTCAGTTATTCTGTGGGGGCCAAAACTAGAGATGGCCCGTCACGACAGAGCCTATTCCTTCCCACAGCCCCACACGTGGACACCAGCTCCCAGCCCCAGAGTTCTGCCGGCAGCACAAAGAGGCCTTGGTCCACAGCCTTCTCCATCTCGGGCTCTGACTCCGACACGGAGGTGACACCTGTGCTGCAGGGGCACCAGGCCTTGGACCTGCAGGGCCAGCAGGCTTCGCAGCACAACCCAAAGGCGCTGATAAAGAAGCGCACAAGGCCCACGGAGAGCTGGGCTGTGGAGTGGCTCCTGGGGCTGAAGATGAGGCTCAAGAAGCAGCGTGTGTCGACGGTGCTGCCTGAGCACCACAAGGCCTTCAACAGGCTGCTCGGTAGGGCATGAGATTGGGTACCTTGCGGGGCGGACGGTGTCATTAGGTGGGAAGGGACAGGTCCTGGGGGACCTGGATGGAGCCTTGCCTGTGTAGCCAGAGAGACTGGGGGCCTGGGGAGAGCCCTGGATCTGCCAGCCTCTCTGATACACATGAGCTCTTGCTGCCCACGTCCACCAGCGGGGTGCGGAGATGCCGGGCTCACTGTAAATGCCGGGCTGCCTCCCACTGATCACCCCATACAGACTGAAACAGGCCTCAGTGGCTCATGGGCAGCCACGGGCATGTGCTCAGGCCCAGGACACACATCCATGCTGGACCAAGCCCTTCCTCACTGGCAGCCACAGACCCTTGCTTGCCAGCCACATGTGCCCAGCCTCTGCATGGCTGCTGGACCCTTGGCTCTGACCTGACACTTCCCCAGAAGAGGCCAGGGCCCGCCTGCTTCTCAGCCTAACACACTGGCCCCTTTCCCCAGAGGATCCCGTGGTCAAGCAGTTCCTGGCCTGGGACAAGCAGCTCAGAGTATCTGACAAGGTGAGTGGGCCCGACACACGGGGATAGATTGGGTTGGGGGACACAGGGCATAGTACCCCTGCAGTCATCTGCCCCTGCACGTGCCTCCACCCAGCACGCACACACAGTGCCTGCCCTTTCCTGACGGGCCCCGCATGTATGACGGAGCCTGTGGCATCTCTGCTCCCCACTGAGACTGCTGCCTCTGTGCCAGGCCCCAGGTCAGGCCAGCCTGGATGTCACAACTCTCGTGGGCATCCCTGATGATCAGGGCCCAGGTGCCCAGCTTCCTGCTCCTCCAGAGCCCTGGGAACCCCAGCTGCCCTCACACAGGGCCCTGGCAGTGGCAAGGCTACACTGAGTGGCAACAGCCCACTGCCCCAATCCCCACCACCCTGTCCTGATTCTCGTCAAGTCATGACTCGTGTCGTGCTGCCCTCTCTCCATCAGTACCTGCTGGCCATGGTCGTCGCCTACCTCGGCCGAGCTGGCCTCTTCGCCTGGCAGTACAGGCGCATCCATTTCTTCGTAGCTCTGTGAGTATTCTGCTTCCCGACTCTCTGCCCTGGAACATGCAGGACTGAGTCCTCTGTCCACCTGCAACAGCAGAGTCAGCTCCAACACCACACCCTCCCTCTGCTTCTCTGGCCTCCCAGCGCTGCTGCCCAGCCCGCTTCCGGGGGCACCCTTTCTGATCCCTGACCTGCTGGGCCCAGGCCCGTGTGGCAGGGTCACGTCACAGTGCCCACAGGCTCTTACAGGCTTGGCCCTACTTGAGTGTAAGATGACAGCTCAGCTCCTGCCCTTTTGTGGCACCTCATTCACTCTGCACAAGGCCTTGCCTGGTACATGCCATGGGTCAGAGAGTGTGACAGGGAATGTGGAACTACAAGCTGCATGTGGAATGAGTGCACGGGAGTGGATGGACACGCTGTGTCTGCCCTTGGGGGCACGTCTGTGTCGTTGGGGAGGTGTGTGCACCTGCATCATGGTGAAGGGGTGGGGAGGGGGAGGGCAGGGATGCAGTGCCCAGGGCCCAGGAGGGAGGCATTCTCTGCCAGTTCCTGTCCAGCTACAGGGGCACTGAGGGCTCCCATGCAGAAGCTGAGCTTGGCCAGAGGTCTTCCCGCTGGGCCCGCGCAAAGAGATGGGCTTCTTTTCCCAGCTACCTGGCCAACGACATGGAGGAGGACGAAGAGGACGACGAGCCTCCCAAGCAGGCCATCTTGTCCTTCCTCTTCGGCAAGGATGACGCCCAGCGGCCCCTCTTCGACCACCTGCGCCTGCAGTTCATGCGCTGCATGGGCTGGAAGGCCTGGGTCACCCTGGAGGAGTGTGAGGAGGTGGGTGAGGCTGGGGCGGCTTGAGCAGGACCCAGGAGCAGGGCTGCAGGGCCCGGGGCTTGGGATGTGGGGACAGGCAAGAAGGGCCAGGGAAGAGCCTCTGAGGGAACGTTTGTCTTTCCAGATCCAAGCCTATGACCCAGAGCTCTGGGTGTGGGGGCGAGACCGGGCCCTCCTAGCCTAAGCTGCTGCACTGACACCAGTGGTCACCGGCCAGAGGGCAGGTGCGTGCAGGTCCTCGGGGTGGGCTGGGAGGGGGCTGTCTCCAGTCTGGGAGATCTGGCGGCACCCTGAGCTGCACTCCCTTTTGTCACCCACACCTTTCTAAAACCTGGTCCAGATCCACAGTGGGAGATGATTAGATGATTGGATGGGACTGTGTGCATGTCCACACCTCCCATTCAATTCTGCCGTGCTCTGCAGTCACCCACACTCACTTTCCAACAACCCTCACCACGTTGGCCACTCCAGCATCAACGCTGGCCCCTGACTCCCACCCCTGCCGCCTTGTCCCCTCCTGCAAGCTTCCACCCCAGCAACACCTCCAGCATGGCCAGTGCAGCTGCACAATTGTGTGGCAGCTCTCATGGGGGACATGCATGCATGACTCTCCTTTGGGGTGGGGAGGGCACCAGCTAAACATCTCTATCTACTTTCCAAGTATTCCTATGCTCATGGAATTTGCCAGAACGCGGAAGGGTAAGCACAGCAACATCCTGCGTGGTGGTCACCCCTGACTCATTAGTTCCCGTCAGGGATGGGGGCTGGGCAAGGACGCACCTTGGGCCATGAGCTGAGTGGTTAGGGTCTGGGATTGGGCATGGGCTCTCCTGTTGGCGAGTGGCCCACCTCAGGCCCAGAGTCAGGGACCCCCACTGACAGGCCGAGGATGGCTGAGGACCACCAGAGTTCAGAACCAAGGGCCAGGGCGCCAGGGAGTCTTTCTCCCAGCCCACCCGTGGGGACTGAACTGGCTGCGAGTCACGTCTGACTGGGTCTCTCCTGCTTCCAGGTCGGTGAGCCCAGGGGAGACGTTCTTCAGCAACAGCAGCAGTCCAGACACCAAGGGCCACTGCGAGACAGGCGACAGGCCTGCTGGCCGACAGTCTGGAACAACCCAGACTCTTCAACAACAGCGTCCCCGCCAAGTACTCCTGCCAGCTGTGGGCACTCCCGGGGCTGTGCGGTGGGACAGGCCTTCTATCCACTTCCATCCTGGCCCGACACTCCATCAAACTGGCACAACTGATCTCCTCCCCTGAGACAGCAGCTGCAGCCCTACTCCTTTATTGATTTAGTCACTCAGTTTCCAACTATCTGGTCCCCACGGTCAAAAACCATCAGAGGGGTCCCACTCTTGAACCCATCATTTGGGTGAATTGCACTAACTCAAATTTTACTCATACTTCTAATGGAGTGCATATTGTATATGTAGTTCTCACATAATATATACATAATAAGATATATTTTCCTAGAAAAATATTTTTTAAACGCTATTTTTAGAGATAATTTATTAAATTTATTGCACATCGTTTTGAAATAGAGGGCAGAATTGGGGGGGGCTACGGGGAGTTGCTCAAACTAGGCTGCAGCTCCAACTGGTTTGCGGGAGGACTGAATAGGAAGTGGATAGGATCGAGCTGGACTACAACACACTCGTTGGTTTATGAGGAAGACAGGGCTGGAAACAGAATGGACCCAGCAAGCTTAACGACCAGCATGTGCATAAGCTGACTGGGGTGACGGACAGTGCTGGACTCTGTACTAGCAAACTCACGCAAGAATCAGGTCTGGGATCATCTCAGAGGAAGTTTCTTTGGAGATCCCTCCAACGGAACTGCTGATCTTAGAAGCCCAACCACCAAGAGACTGTCCGCCAGTGGACTCTGAATAGGTTTCCTTGCGATTGGAACTGCGAGACTGGCAGCAATCCAGAACTGATGAACTACCAAACCCGCACAATTCTTGTAGGCGATCTCAACACGCCTCTAACACCAATGGACCGGTCTACGAAACAAAAACTCAACAAAGAAACAACAGAGCTCACACAAACAATAGAACAACTGGACTTAGTAGACATATATAGAACTTTTTATCCTAAGGCCACAGACTATACATTCTTCTCAGCGGTGCATGGCACCTTCTCCAGAATCGACCACATGATAGGTCATAAAGCGAATCTAAACAACTTCCAAAACATTAGAATCATACCATGTACCCTCTCAGACCACCATGGGATGAAACTGGAAATCAACAACTCAAAACTCCCCAGGAAGTATAGGCACTCTTGGAAATTGAACAATATGCTATTAAATGAACAATGGGTCAGAGAAGAAATTAAAGATGAGATCAAAAAATTTATGGAAACCAATGAAAACTCTGATACAACATTCCAAAACTTGTGGGACACCGCCAAAGCAGTGCTACGAGGTAGATTCATCGCAATCGGAGCCCATGTCAAGGCCCAAGAAAGACGCCAAATACAGGAACTAACCACACACCTCCAGGATCTGGAAAAACAGCAGCAGAAGAGTCCCACGCACAATAGGAAACAAGAAATCATCAAAACAAGGGAGGAGATAAACCAAATAGAAATCAAAAAAACTATACATAAAATCAACAAATCAAAAAGTTGGTTTTTTGAGAAAATAAACAAAATAGACACTCCACTGGCCCGATTGACCAAAAAAAAACAAGAGAAAGTGAGAATCAATAGCATTAAAGATGAAAAAGGCAACACAACAACAGACACTACAATCATTAAGAAAATAATTAGAAATTACTACAAAGAACTGTACTCCCACAAATTTGAGGACCACCAAGAAATAGAAAAGTTCTTGGACTCCCACCACTTACCAAAACTCAGTCCGGAGGCAACTGAAGAATTAAATAAACCCATAACCGAGGTAGAGATTGAAACAGTCATCAAGGATCTCCCAACGAAAAAAAGCCCAGGCCCAGACGGCTTCACTACAGAATTCTACAAAACATTCCGAACAGAACTAACCCCAATCCTCTACAAGCTCTTCAAAACAATAGAGGAGGAAGCAACCCTTCCAAACTCATTCTATGAAGCCAACATCACCTTAATCCCAAAACCGGACAGAGAACCGTCAGAGAAGGAAAACTACAGACCTATTTCTCTGATGAACATTGATGCTAAAATTCTCAACAAAATCCTAGCCAATAGAATTCAATAGAATTCAAAAAATCATCAGACAGATCATTCATCCGGATCAAGTAGGATTCATCCCTGGAATGCAGGGATGGTTCAACATTCGGAAATCCATAAATGTTATAAACCATATCCAAAACCTGCAAAACAAGAACCACATAATAGCTTCAATAGATGCAGAAAAAGCTTTCGACAAAATCCAACACCTCTTCATGCTAAAAACTCTAGCCAAAGTAGGCATAGATGGGAAAATCCACAACATAATCAAAGCAATTTATGAAAAACCCAATGCCAGTATCATACTGAATAAAACAGTCTCCTTACCTCCACCATGCATGCTGGCTTTTCTGTCCCATCTTGCGTGCTGTCAGGTGGTCTTGCTGCGACTTGCTCCCTCGCGGGACCCTGAGCACTGATGGTGACTGACTCTTCACCTGCAAAGGGCCTTGGAGCGGGAGGCGTGGCCTGCACTGCAGTGCAGAGAGACCCAGAGTGCAAAGCTGGCAGGGGCCTGTCGGTTAGATGATAGGGACAAGGAAAGTCAGCTCCTGGGTTAGTTCCCAAACAAAGCTCCACAAGCACCAGGGCTGGGCCAGAGGCACACGCGGGAGGCTGACACCTCTGTGGGCAACAATGGGCAGCGGGGACATTCACCTGTGCTCAGGGAAGACAGGACCACCCCTCCCTCATGTGCAGGGTCCCACACCTGCGGTGGGGGGCACCTCTTCCTCCTCGGCTCCTGAGGCCAATGCACTCTCCCCTCCTGTCACCAGTTCACTGCAGGAAGACCCTGCTGGCCACACCCTGGCTGGCAGCTTCTGCTCCTTGCCTGCTAGGTCTGCTCATCCAGCACTCCATACTTCCTGCTGGAGGCCAGGCAGCCTGTGCTCTCTTTGGTGACAGTCCCCACCTGTCCCCTAGGCTCAGCAGGCTTCCTCTCTCTCTTTACACAGTCGTGCTCTATGTGCTCCTCTGAACGGAGCAACAGGGTTTGATAGGACGCACCAGACACCCTCTGTGAAGACAGGGCCAGGGAGCTGCCAGAGTATGGGGAAGTACAAACGGGAGCTCCTGCCAACTCCAGAGCTTCCAAACATGGACTTCTTGATCACAAACACAGAGCTACAGAGAGGGACAGAGGGACAGACAGAGAGAAAGCTTCCATCTGCTGGCTTCCTTCCCTGAGGGCTGCAACAGCCAGCACTGTCCCAGGGAGAAGCCCACATTCCAGAACTTCATCAGGGTCTCCTGCACAGGTGACCATTCGGCTATCTACTGCTGCAGCTTCCCAGGTTGTGTTCACGCAGCTGCAAGGGAAACACAGCAGCCGGGACATGAACTGACATCTCTGTGAGATCTTCTGTGTTTGTGGGGAAGGGGGCAAGGAGGGGGCTGGCTCAGAGGCACATGCTCAGGAGGGAGGGAGGGAGCCATTGCTTTCCACTTCCCTCACGGTAGCCTGTGCATGGAATGTTTTGTGTGTTGTTTGGTTTTGTGCATGCTGCCCTATCAGTCGGGCAATGTAGGTTGAGGAGGACCAGATGGCACAAGAGCCTCAATTCAGCTCCCAGCAGCGTGGCCATCCAGCCTGCAACCTAGCCGCCAGCTGAGGCACAAACAACATGGCCCCAACCTGGCACCACGAGAGCACAGCACCTGCCTCTGAAGATAGAAATTGGGACTGATAATATTAGGTTGCATGATTATACTAACAGGCTAGAGAACCAAGTCTGAGGAAGACTGAGTTAGGTCTCTCTGGACTCACCTATGTGCAATTGCAATACTCACTGGTTTGCTCAGGAGTTAGGCTAGCCATGCATTGAGCTAGGCATGACAAAGGAACCCGCTGGCACTCATGGAAACTCAGGGTTGGGAACAGACCCAGCTCATCCAGGATGCAACACCTGTAGCAACACACACACACACACACACACACACACACACACACACACACGTAAATTTCTGGTGGAGGGGTAACTGGTGCATGTGGCAGGGCCAGAGAAAATCGTGGCACACTAGCATATGCAGGATTCCAGGAGATGCATTGTG